AATACAACAAAATTAAGAATAAGTGCACAAAATAATTAATTTGTATTTATTAAGTGTTTTGTGAAATCTTTTGGGTGTCTTAATTAAATTTCTCCATAACCCAAGAGCTCAATCCGTTACTATTAGGTCATTACTCGAGTAACTATTGTCCCTTTTCGATTTTTTACTTTTTCAGAATTATTATACGTATAAAGATCTTGGTACTTTCACGTTTAATACTGTATTATACACATCCGCACGTATTTCTCATGTTTTTCCCTTAGTTCTTTTCAGAAGTTGTCTAGGCGTGCGGCTATACTCGTTTTTCCTCCAAAAAATAGTACAGCCGGTCGGTCCCTTTTGACACGTGGCCCTATGCTTGGGGCTGGTCTGTTTTATATTATAAATAGTATAGCCGTCCGGCTAGACTCTTTGTAAAGAGAAAAATTAAATTAAATTTTTTTTCGAAAATTTTCAGAATATAAAACTGGTTTCTTTACTTTTGTTCCCTTGTGCAGTGCCCCAAGGCGTCTTTGATTAATATAATTATTATTAATGAATGCCAAACCCATTGCCAAGGCTATTAGCTCAACTCCCTAATGTCAACCAGATTTATTTTACTATCATAGTGCTTTGTTTATAAACACCTTTATAGGAGTGTGTATTTTCGATGTGGGACTTTCACAAAGGCACCTCAAAAGGCAAGCCTACAGAGAAATCTATATTTTTATTGTTGGTGCAATGTGAAAATATATTTAAGGCCCTTCAAGGTTTCCGTGGCGCATCTGTACATGCCATTCAAGGTCTTGCAGGACTGTCAACTGCAACCAACAAGAACAATGAGGATTATAACTTTCGTAATCTCGTTCAATTGTATGGATATCAAAACCATTATGGTGAGACTTTTGGGAAGTAATACTGGACAGGAAAAGTACCCTTGCTACAGGCATAATTGGCAGGTCACCAGCAGCAAGCCAGCAAGCAATACTAATGGAAATAGTTCTCACAATTTTCAATTGCTAACACAAGATTGGGACCTAGTCGACTCGGCGGAGAAGATACGACAGGTAAAAGAGAAGAGAACAAGAAAATCCGGAAAAAAGACCATGACACAAAGCAACTATCATATGTATGAGCATAACACTTAAAAAAACAAAACTAAATACCAACCAGAGGACTGTTCAAATGAAAGGAAATAGACTCTTGCTTTTTCCATATTAGAGAAGCTATTTTACAGAAAATTCAATCTGGTGAAGTGACAAAATGTGTTCCAGCAAATACCTTCCCATGCACATCTGATGCCAAACCAGTGGCCAACGGTTCTGCTCTTATCAGAATGTCATACTCCATCTGTAAAATAAGGAAGGGCCTCACCTTGTCTGAATATATATCGTCATGATTGAGCATGACTAAGGAACAACCCTGCGATAAGATAAGGTACATGAGATGAATAACTGAACAAAAAAAGGAGTGTAGTATGAAAACCGGAGAAAATGACTGACAGTATGAAAACCGGAGAAAAGGAGTGTGCATTTTCCAAAGACAAAAGGGTACCTTTGCAAAAAGGGTTCATGAATGAAAAGTTATATAGTGGAATGAATAGCGTCTCTGTGAATTTTAAACCAACTCTGCCTCTCAAGTAATATTTGAGGTAAAGAGGTAGAAGAACAAGCCATGAGTTGGTTCCTGTGAAATTAGAGATTTTGTTAAGAAGAATAATTCTCAGGTTCGTTGTTGATAGGGCCAAAAGGCTAAGTATTTATGGAGATATTACAAGCTTAACTAGGAAAACTAGGTTACTTGGAGACTACTCCAAATCAATTACAATCAACTAATAAAAGGAAACTAAATAAAAATTTAACAACGTTCCTAATTTCCAACACTCCCCCTCAAGTTGGAGGGTGGATATCAAGAACGTCCAACTTGCACAAGAGATTGTGAAAGGTGTTACTCCCAAAGGTTGCTAATAAAGAGGCAGTGGTGTCACTGCTGTAAAGGGGGCAGCTGCGTCGCAGCTGCATCACTGTTGTAATGAAGGCAAATCTGGAGGCAAATGGAGCAGCGGTGTGCTGCTGTAAAGGGGGTTGTTGCTCCTCTCAAATCCGACGATGTATGAGAGTCGTGAGTTGAAGGAAGCAGAACCCAAATAAAGTCGTGCTGATGTTCAACGCATTTTGCATGTATGGAGGCTGTTGTTGATGTTGCTGATGTGCAACGATGGTGATTTTGTTGCTAATGTGCAACAAATGTTGTTGATGATGCCTCTTCTTGAGGCTGAATAATGATGCTGCTG